CCACGCCGGTGCTGCTGCGAATAAGTTATTCTTGAAAAATATAGTTTTTAAAAATTACATTTTAAGGTTTAAAAAGTCACAAGGACTGTCCTTTCAAAAATGGACAGGTGACAATCCTACTTCCTGGGGGCTTTTTCGACTGTGAGATTTCTCAAATAACTGTCCCAGCAAACATTTTGGTGTAATTTGACGTCGATACTACCTAAATTATATATAATAAATTTGGTCGCAAAATTAGATTTAACCATAATTAAGTAAAATTTACGTTGACTCGACGTGGATTCGACATAAGTGGAGAATAAGACGACGTCGAAATTTGGTTTTATTTACCAAAATAGGTAGAATTACATCTAAATCCACATTGTAGTAGCCCAGTACGTTTGGTTAGTAATACCTCTCTAGGGAAATTTGACGTCAGTATAACGTTAATTCGACGTTGATTTAACTAAGCCAAAATATTTGCAGATGACGTATGCCTCCAAGTGTACGAAAAGAAATTTTATACTTATTTGGTATTTTTATCTATATATAAGTAGAAATATTGTAAGAAGTCACCAACACAACTAAAACATATACCTAATTCACATGGAAGATTGAAAATAAATAAATGTCGGTGACAAAAATATATGTAATGTAATTGCGGTGAATATACAGTTCACGCTTGTTGAAATTAATGCGAAGAAAATTTTGTCGTGCATGTTAACAGTTCTACTTAGAAAAATAACAATGCCCTTCCAAAATATTCTCTAATTAAAAAAATATAAGAAAAAAATATGATCGTGTAAAAAAATAATAATAATATTATGAGCTAAAACTATATTACGTTTGTTGTGTATCACTTTAGAAAATCAATAATGTTTGGTTTTTCGGTATTTTCATTCGTAAATTCTAGTTATGGTCATTTTAAAAATTTAAAATTTGGAATCGTACTTCAATTACGTTAAGAAAATATGGCGTATTGTGCGAATTCGACCTAAAAGTTATTATGACTAAGGAAATCTACGTATTTTATAAATACCTTTTTATTAAGTTGAATTAACTTCAATTTCACGACATATTAGTTAACTTTACCTATTTAAAGAAATAATAACTTATAGGTTTTATAAAAAATTTACCTATAGGTAAATATAACATATTTAGGTCACGTTGTTCTGCACTTGAGATTTTAGACGTTTCACTTTACGATAAAAATCGGAAGTATAACGATATGATTTATTATTTTTCGAACTCATTTTATTAATTATTTTTCGCACTCATTTAAAGCCCTATCTACACCACACGTAAATTAAGATTACGACTGTAATGTTTTTTTTAAAATGGCCGAAATTCTTAAGAATAATGACGAAGACAGTAACTGAACAACCTAATTGTTAAAATAACCTAAATAATATGAATTTTACAAATAAGTCATGTATGACTATTTTTAAATAGGTGGTTTTTAGTCGAATTTACTTTGTGGTAGATTTTTCAGGTAATTGCTACAACAAAGTTAATAAATATTTCTTCAAGATGACTTATAGGTCAACTAAATGAGTATTCGACTATTTGGTTGAAATTAGGTAAATGAACAGGTAGAATTTTGCTACGATCTCGACCTAATATTACTTTAAAGGAGAGTAAATAAAAGCGGCCAAATAGGTTACTATGGAGGCATAAAATTACGTAGAATTTTTAACCAAATCTACCTAGTTAAATATTCTACTATAAAGACGATTTTTAGTTGCCAAACAGGTAGATATTACCTAAATATGGCACCTAATTTTACTACAAAAGAAATTTAACTTTGAAGTAATTGTTGGTTATTTTTTTAAGTAGTTTTTCCCTTGCTGATATGGTTAAATTTACTTTTAAGCAGATTTGTGTAAAAGGTAGATTTCTTGGTATAATTTACGTAAATTTAAATATAAATTAAAACCGTTTGGTAAATTTACATTAGAGGTATATTTTTCTAGTCAATTTTACGTAATAATTAACTCAATAAGTAAATTCGTCTTTAACAAAGTCGAGTTTTAACTAATGTTATAGAAAATGTTTGCTGGGGTTCTTTAATAATATTATACAGTATCCGCTTAGATATTCCAATATAGGTCTCACATTTAGTGGGTATATACCATCTAAAATGTATTAAGTTGATTTCATGAATTTTCTTTGAACTTTTTCGAGTAATCAGTATAAATGTTATGCACGGGATTCCAAACAACAGAACAGTATTCAAGTTTTGACCGTACAAAGCTAATATATAGAATTTTTAAGGTGAATATGTTTAGGAATTCTTTACAGCTTCGAATAACAAACTAAGCTCCTGTTAGTAGCAGATAACATCGTTTCAATGTGTTTAACGAAATTTAGTTCAAGATCAAAATAAACTCCGAGATCTCTTATAAATTCGGGTCGATTTAGAACAATGTTCTGTAGTTTATAATCAAAAATTATAGGTGTTACTTTTTTAGTAAAGGACATTACGGGAACATTTCTGTGGATTTAAAGACACTACTTCGCAATGTCAGACACTTTTGAAGTCGCAAACAATGGTTAACAGAATTGATTTCAAGCAATAATTTTAGGTCAGGCATAAATTAAAACTTTAATATGCTCGATATTAGCGACTATATTATTATCATTTATAAAAATTATAAATAAAAGAGGACCTAAAATTGATCCCTGAGGAACTCCTGATGTTTGTCCGAAATTTTTTGATCTGTAACCACGACATTGAACATATTGATGTCTACTCAACGAATACGAACCAATCAATTGAATGATTTGGTCGCATAAACCAATGGAACTTAACTTGTGGAGTAAGATGGAATGATCAATTTTGTCAAAGCCCTTTTAGAAATCTACAAGGTTTGTAACTGTAGATCTATTTTTTATGAATCCATGTTGGTCACAAGATATAAGACGGGAAACATGATTGGAAATACTATCGTGAGTAATTATTTCGAATACTTTAGCAAAATTGCAAAGAATGCTTATGGGCCGATAATTACAAACATCATTTTTGCTACCCTTTTTATGTACCGGTGTAAATTTGGAAATTCTCCAGGCAGTAGGGAAAATACATGTTTTCAAGATTAAATCAAAAATGCTTTGTGTGCACTAGGTCGTTTACGCGAACTTGTTCTTGCAATATGTTCTAATGCACTTGCGCCATTATTATATAACTGTAAAATTGTAATAGGTATATATTAATACAAAATTTAGAATTAATTAAAATACATATGATACGGCTATGAGTAAATAAAGTCTACCTGATATGTCAACTTTTTCGTAATCAGTTGCATAATTTTCTGCTTTATGTAGCTGGTTGTAAAGTAGATCGTTTTGACACTTGTTGCGATTACAAAATATATTACTTTATATGTCAAAATTAGAAAAAAGCATTCCAAATGTGTTTTCTTTGAAGACTTGATTAAAGTAATTCCGATAAGTAAATCAACACCTCAATAATCGATATCACTTAAAGATAAATATTTCTTCGTATATTTATCTAACTAAAAATCAATTATGAGCGTGACTAAGTGGTATCTGTTATATATAAAAAAAAGTTAGTTAACCAACCAATCGTAATGATTGAATGCATCGTCAGAATTATTGAATGTTCATTTTGAGCCAACCAAACGTTGATCGTAATGCTCTTGTTTGTTCATTGTTGACCTTGTTTAGTGTTTTTGGCAAGTATGGTTGTTTCTTCGAATTTTGGGGGCTTATCTTCGCCAGACACCACTACAACATTGCCAGCGGCGCGACTCGAACTAAAGCAACAAGCATTCACTACTATTTTTTTGGTAATAAATATATTCGAACGAACGCGATAGAGTTTTGCATTTATTAATCGGAAAAACAAGTTAAGTCGCGTGTCAAATTTTAGTAAAATATGTATATTTTTAAAGAAAGTTAAACCCCATAAAAATCCAAAATAAAAATTTATATACAGGTTGTTTCAAAGTGAAGTGTACGTATGTTAAGATATATTTTCGTTAATATAGCAAACATAATGTTATAGAAACCATGATTAAAATCCATTTCTTTTCTCCTCTACATCTGCCACACTCTATGTCTCGTTCTGCGAATTAAATTACTAAAAATCCATCTAAAACTCGAGGTTGAAAAAAATCATGATTCCGATACTTTCCTTGTGTGTATACAGATAGGAAAGTAATAAAAATCGCTTTCAAATGAAGTGTCACACTTTATAATACGTTATGGTTTTGTATCCCGCAAAAGGATGCTAAAATCAAATACAACACAATGAATAGTCATATTGCTGAATTCCCCATAAAAGTACCTTTTTAATGATGTTACTTGCTATTGTGGTGGTTTAATTTCTGGTAGCCTTAATTGGGTGGTCTCAACGCTGCGCCGTACACTGAGGCTTAATCGCATTTTTCTGGCCAAAAATAAAAATTCGAAATTTAAAAATTTTTATTTTGAAGTAACTTATTTAATGTGCAAAATATATTGGTTTTAAAATAATAAATGTGCCTATTATTACAGTCTTCTTTTAAACGTTTTGGGGTATGAACGTTTGATTATCTTCAATCTTAAAGTACTTTCTGACCGGATAACACTGGCCAACAAAATTACACTTTTTGCCTAATTAATGACTTATGATGATGATGATAATGATTCTAAATATACCCCCACTTTTTTTCTGACAGCTCTTATTTACGAGTTATAACTTTCACTAAAAATTCGCTGTATTATAGTATTTATTTGCAGTTTATTTAATAATAATTATTGAATTATTATACATATTTAATTTTATTTGTAAATACCATTAATTTATAATCCTCTTTAACAACCCCTCTGTTGTACGACCGCGGACACCCCCTGTAGAACATACTTATAAAGGTAAAAGTACCTCTCTTTAATGACCGGTAAAACCCAATTTCAGAATCCTTAAGAAATGATCTTCTGTTTTTTTAGGGGAAGATTTAGTAAGACAATAGTTAAATTATCTTTCTTGTTTGAATTATTGTTTTATTTTGTAATTTGATATGGCATCGCCAAGAAGAGTATGTATGAACGATTCAAACAATTTTTATTTCATTTGCGGAGAGTATGTAAAGAATACCGTTTAAATGCGACAACGTTCGTAAATGAGGCTTACAAAAATTACTTTGGATACCCGCTGGAAATAAAGATTAAGCCTTGGATTCCGCAAAAGGTATGCAAAACATGCGTTGAGTTCCTATGTTTATGGACAAATAAGAAAATACGTAGCTTCAGGTACAAAACCGCTATGATTTGTTTGGTAAACTTAACTGGTATTAACCGAAAAAAATCGAGCCAAATGGGAATATCTTTCCATACAATCAGCACATAGACGTGTCCTGAACCCTAAGTTTACACCTGAACATGAATCTGGTACTTTACAGGAAGAGCCAGAAGATTTTGAGACGGAAAACGACAGTAGTGATAGTGACTTTGAATGCGACCTGGGAACGCCAAAACCATTTAATCAAGATCATTTAAACGACTTAATTAGAGATAGGGACTGTCAAAGTCAGCTTCAAAGAAGAAAAATTTTTGGTTTCAAGGCTAAAAGAAAGAAAATTGGTAACGAAAGAGAACATAATTTCCTCAAATATTTTGTTGAAGGAGACTATTTCGTATTTTGTAAAGATGTACCTGGATTGATGGCTACAATGGGATTACAAAATTATGTTTCTAGTGGGTGGCGTTTATTCATAGACTCGTCAAAACGAAGTCTAAAATGTGTTCTCTTACACAATGGGAATAAATTAGAGTCGTTGCTTATTGCACATTCTACAAAAGTATAAGAAGAATATACAACTATTGCTCTGGTTTTGGACAAAATTAAATATGTCGAAAATAAGTAGATCATATGTGTTGATTTAAAAATGGTCAACTTTCTATTAGGCTAGCAAGGTGGTTACACAAAGTATCCTTGTTTCCTTTGCTTGTGGGATAATAGAGCTAAAAATCAACATTGGAAAGTTCTAGTTCCAGGACAACAAAACGTGATAAACCCACCTTTAGTGTCAAGAGATCGTATAATTTTGCCTCCGTTGCATATAAAATTAGGGTTTATAAAATAGTTTGTCAAAGGTCTTAACAAAACTGGAAATTGTTTTCTATTTCTATCAAAATAATCGAAACTGAGTGTAGAAAAGATAATAGCGGCCATTTCCGATGGGCCATTTTCGATCATTAATAAAATACACCAAATTTACGGACATTATGACAGAAATTGAGAAAAACACATGGAATGAGTTTGTTTGGCTTGTTCAAAATTTTTTGGGAAATAAGAAAAGTTCTAACTATTCTCAACACGTTGAACAACTAATGAGCATCAAATTGCACTTTCTTCACAGCCACCTAGATTATTTTCCCGCTAATCTTGGGGATCTAAGTGAAGAACAGGGCGAGCGATTCCACCAGAACCTTCGTACGATGGAGGAACGGTATCAAGGCTACTGGAACGCACACATGATGGCTGACTATTGTTGGAGCATTCAGAACAGTTCTATGGGTTCAACCTCTGCAAGGAAGTCTATAAAAGAAAGTTTTTTTATCTTAAGAGCTAAATAAAATATGATTAACTTTAAACAAATTGTATTTTACTATGAAACGGCCATGTGTCATATTTTCTAAACTAGAGCTAATACAGAAATTTAGATTACAGATTTGAAGTCTTCATTAAAAATTAAGCTAGTGTCATGTAATATAACTCAATCAGCAAAAATGCTGTTGTGCAGTGTAATAGATATTTGTTTTTATTAAGAATCATTTTTAGTATGGATGCCGTTCCATGTCTTAATTATTATATAATTTAGTTATTATTTTTTTAAAAAATTAGCAATTTTTTTTTCAACTGTAACATATTAAAATGTGTGTCAATATACGGCAAAATTTTGTTAGGTTTCTTTAAAATCTAACTTTATAATGAATTCTAAATCAGTCTAAAATTAATTTAATGACTATAACATAAACATGCTCCGCATGTTTCCGCTTTTTTGTGTTGTAATTTTTTTGTTATTAATTGTCATTATATTAGTCCCAATATACTCCATAAAAATATATAAAGGTTGGGTCTACATCCGTAAAATACGTATGCGTATTACCGTCAAGAGTGTTGTGCGTTCACATTGTGCGTTAACATTGTGCATTAACATTGTGCGTAAACATTGTGCGTTAACATTGTGCGATAACATTGTGCGGTAACATTGTGCGCTAACATTGTGCGTTAACATTGTGCAAATTTTGTGCGTATTTATTTTTTGGTGATCGTCAGTTTGTATACAACAAAGTAAACGTTCGCTGAGGAAATAACTTGTCTCCTATCAACTTCCCGGTATCCTTGTAGATAGATCTCGGTACGCACACTATGTGAACACTTCAAAATACTCCAAAATAGGCATCTACCGAATATGCATAGTGTGGATCCGTATCAGTGACGGCTTGTGACCAACATATTAGGGGTTCACATTGACAACATAGGTCACACTATAAGTTTTTTTACCTAAAGCTGTACTGAAATCTTTATTTTGTCATTGTGAATACCCATTTTTTTGGCAACGAGCCGCCACTGATAAGAAATTTCGTATATGCAGAAAAAAAGTTATAATAGGAAATTTGAATATTTTGTTCAAATTAAATTAAAAAATAAAATATTATTTTGGAAAACCTTTAACAAAAAAAAATTGTATATATTTGTTTTTTTTTTTTTTTTAATATCAAGAACTGCATATCGCGCGATTGCACAACATATCGTGCGGCTGTGAACCTATTTTTATCAGCTCCCTTTAAAATTCAAGTATCGTATAACGTTCACGATATACCGTTTATCCTATATACCCTTAGAATGAACGGCGCCTTATAAATACATTTTTATTGTATAATATGTGTAATTTTGTTGTATTCAAAACTAATTTATGTAATGTTGGCTGCTATCCATCCAAAATAATGGCCATAATTAAAAGTGGCATTAAAATTATTTTTGACCACTAAAAAATGGATTTGCCTCACTGTGCACCGCCAGACCATACTCATTTTTTGCTAATATATACATTTAGATATAAAATGAATATGCTTACCTACTGTCGAAGATCAGAAAACATAAAAGTTTCTGAATCACTATATTCACTTGATGAGTCATTATTTACTGATTTTATTAAAGGTGGCACTGTAGTATCGACAAGACATCCAAGATTTTGTCCAGATTCCACATGTTTTTTCTTTATTTATTCTTCATTTAACACTTGCCAATTTTCCTTCGTAACAAGTGTTGTGAAGGTTTCTAACAATGCTTCTACATCTTTTAACTTAAATATCGTATTATTTTGACCTACATGTCCTTTAACTTGTGCCCATATTAGTTTAATAGGATTTAGTTTGCAGTGATAGGGAGGAAGACGTACAACATCAATACCATGTGTTTTTGCAAGTTGTTCCTCTACACAACGTACTGGAGGCTTATTTAATGTCACAATTTCTAGTAGTTCTATTTCTATTGATTTTTCTTGATAGTTAATGTTTCTATCTGTTAGCCACTTATTGATATCATCTTACTTCCATGAAGTATTTGGCATACGTCCAATTAAACAGGAATGCTAGTTACCTAAATCTTTTTGGTCTTTTATACATCAAAAAAATAATAGTTTAAGAATTCCTGGACCAATGTATTGTGGTGAGGAATCATAATATAATAATCCCAAGATATTGCAAATCCTTTTGGAATTTTTTTTGAAAGTGTGTTTTTTTTGGCAGATCCAAATGATGCAAATCTAAATTTTAATGGCAATCTGATTGATATTAGTTCAGAATCTATATCTGAAAAAGAGACAATTGATGCTGCTCGTAAATTAAAAAATAAATTTACTTCTGGTCCTAATAAAATTCCATTATTTTTATTAAAAGATTGTATTAGAGTTTTAATCTATCCCCTCAAAACACTTTTTAACCAAATTATAAAAACGACAACTTTTCCAGAGAGCTGGAAAGTAGCTAAAGTGTGTCCTGTACACAAGTCTGAAAATCGTAATGTGATTAAAAATTATAGGCCCATATCTATACTGAATAACGTAGCGAAAGTTTTGGAGTCAATCTTGTATAACCGCATATACCTCTCTGTAAAAGACACTGTTTTTAATTACCAGCATGGATTTATGTTCTCAAGATCCACAATAAACAACTTAGCGACATTTAGTCAATACTTATGTGAATCATTAGATAGAAGAGGTCAGGTTGGTATGGTGTATACTGATTTCTCCAAGGCTTTCGACAAAATCAGTCATGTATTACTTCTTAAAAAGCTACAATGCTTAGGCCTCAATGACATGTACCTTTCATTATTTAGATCTTATCTATACCAAAGAAAGCAATTCGTTAACTTAAACGGATTCTGCTCAAGTATCGATATAACAGCTAGTGGAGTTCCTCAGGGATCTAATTTAGGTCCCTTGCTTTTTCTATTATTTATTAATGACCTGTACCATATGTGATCTAAAAAGCAAAACTCGTGCACACCTTTAGTTTATTTTTTTGTTTTTTAGCTTTTTTTTTGTTTTTAGTAGATATAACATTATTTTGCTAATAATAATTGAAAGTTTATTTTATTCTATATTTAAATTCTTAACTAAATAGTTTGAATAAGGCAATTTTTTCGCAATATTTAATGTACTAATTTGTAGTGCTCTACTGATATTTAAATTCAACTTAACTTTTATTCTTAAGTTTTTGTATTTTCTCTGTAAAGAGTTTATACTGTTTATACTGCAATAAACGCTATTATCCTCCTAAAACGCCAAAATCAGGAACAAAACCAGTAGATGGAGATATAAAGGATTCCACGGATAGATTGCTTAGGCAAAGAACCAGTAAAAAGTAGAGAATCGTGATATAATTAATTATATGCTATTAGTTATCTGTTTTTCATAATTAGGTAGGCGGATATAATTTAAACATAGTTTCCTAGACTATAATACACATTTTATAATTTTAGAAAATTTTAAACTTTTATCTATTATTTAGTATCTAGTGGGTAAGTTTTATATTTAAAAAAAAAAAAAATTTTTAATTACTAGTATAATATTGTATTTGCTAGTTTAGGTATTTTATTAATAATAATCAATGAAATGAATCCCTATATTCGTGATTTTAATATAGACAAATTAGAAAGCTACTACCTAGATAACTCGCAAGAAGCAAAACAAATATTAGAAGTGAATCAGGCAAATACAAACATTAAAATTATGCACAACAATATCCGAAGTATTTTTAAAAATTTTGATGAATTTAAAGTTTTCCTTTTTGACCTAAGAGTGCCCATAGAATGCATTATACTTACAGAAACTAGAATTATAGATGATATTTCCTCAATTAATTTACCTGAATACCACACAGTATATAACAATGGTTCACTAAATCAAAATGACGGAATCGTTATATTCATCAAAAAAGAGCTATATCATTCCCACAAACTAATTAATTTAAATGGAACTTACATGATACAACTTAAACTAATTATAGAACATAATACAATTATAGTAAATGCTTTTTATCGTTCACCTAGTACTATGATAGAGCCCTTTCTTGATGAACTGGAACTAATACTTACAAACCAACCAGATAATTTTGCTTATAATTTATTTTTGGGGGACATCAATATTGATATCCTAGACGACTCCAACGAGAATACTACAAAATACAAGAACATATTAAGTGAATATGCTTACTTGTCAGCAATAAACTTGCCGACGAGGCCATCCTCTGGTACATGTTTAGACCACATATTTATTAATGGAAAGGGGAAAAATAA